GGTATGAATCCCCACACATACCCAGGTATTGATTCATTGCTCCCTTACTTTCAACCCTCGCTGCCCACATCCTTCATACATTCACTGTGCTCTATCTCTTCTGATGAAGATATACACCACTGTATGCACTCACTCAGCAGTGACAAGGCCCCTGGCCCCGATGGTTTCAATGCATTCTTTTTTAAGAAAACATGGCCTATTGTTCGGCAGGATGTCATTAGAGCAGTCAAAGATTTTTTCATTACTGGGAAATTGCTCAAGGAGATTAATTCCATCTCTATCTCATTGGTCTCCAAAATCCAAAATCCCTCAACCTTCAGTGACTATAGACCCATCTCATGCTGCACTACCATTTATAAATGCATCTCCAAACTACTGGCCAACAAGCTTAAGCCCACCCTTTCCCATTTCATAGACCATGCACAATCTGCCTTCATCCAAGGTAGGCAAATTGAGGACAACATTCTATTAGCTTAGGAATTACTTAATGGTTACCATAAACAATCTTGTTCTCCTAGATGTGCCCTTAAAATCGACTTGAGGAAAACTTTTGATACAGTTTCATGGGATTTCCTGTTTGATTTTCTTAAATTGTTTGGTTTCCATCTACATTCATTGGGTGGATCACCACATGTGTTTCCACTCCATCTTTCACCATCTCCATCAATGGTGAGTTTAATGGGCACTTTAGAAGTGTCAAAGGACTGAGGCAAGGGGATCAACTCTCCCCCTTTTTGTTTGTTATTGTTATGCAAGTCCTATCTTCAATAATCAACAAGTTCATAGTGGAGAAACCTTACAAGTTCTGCTGGAGATGCAAAGACTTGAAACTATCTCACCTAATTTTTGCTGATGACATCATGCTATTCTCTCATGCCAGCCTTCCATCAATTCAGACTCTGAAACAAACTTTAGACACCTTCTCCTCACTCTCTGGCCTTCAGATCAACCAGAATAAAAGTCATGTTTTCACCACTGGCATTAGTCCAGCCCTTGAAGCCAATATTTTCTCACTGCTTAGATTTGAAAAGGGTTCTTTGCCAATCAGATATCTTGGTGTTCCACTTGTAACTTCCATGCTCAGAGCTTTTGATTGCAGAACTCTTATTGATAAAGTTACTTCTAGAATCTCTCATTGGACCAGCAGGGATCTTTCTTTTGCAGGGAGATTGCAGCTGATTAAGGCAATTTTGTTCTCTACACAAACTGTTCAGCTCGCGGAGAAGCGCTAGTTCCACTTTCCAGGTGAGTGGAAAGTAGGAGTGGATGTCGGGCGTGCCAGGAACAGCTGTCGTTCCAAAGTGAGTATCCGAACAACTATCCAGTAGGAAATTGCAGGGATCAAGTGATTGAATGAAGGACTGGAATTACCACCTTCAAGGGTTCTTTTTGCCTTGAAAAAGGACTTTCGGACTGAACTATGGCTAGTGGAAAAGAAAGCTGTATTGAAAGTGCAGGACTTCAAAGTAAAGGAATTGAAGTGCAGGACTTGGAAAGTAAGAAAGATAAGTGCATGACTTGAATTAAACATAATGAAATTGCATTACATGAATGTAAAGATACATGAATGTAAGAAATTGAAAGTGCTGTTTTGCTGTGTGATTTGAACAGGGTTTGCAAGTGAAGCCTAAGTGTTCTATTTATAAAGCTCTCCATGCATGCATTAACTAGGTGTGGCAGCTTCAACAGCTTTCACATGGAATGGTTCCGGACTGCCACATGTCCCATGATTCCTCAACGGTTGTAACTTCTTCCATCTCGATCACCCATTTTTTGTTGTAGATTTCAACCACGTCCTCTCTAGTCTTCAACGAATTTGCGTCATGGGTAGTTTCAGAATGAATTCCCACGTGTTTTCTTCGTGACTTGGCAAGTGTCCCATGATTTCATTCTTCTTCCTCACGTCGTCAACTTCTTTCTTAACTTCAGACACGATTTCATCAACTGCGGCCCTGTCACCCATGACCCTTGATAACTTCCCTTGGTTAGTGGTAGTTTCCTTATAGGTTTCCACCACTTTCAATCGATATATTCCTGTTTAGCCAAGTGTCCCATGATTTCTAGTAATCCTTCACTTCTGCTAGAACTTTCCTTTCATGGCGTCATGGTTTCTAACTTCTGATAAAACTCCTCATCGTGCATAACTTCCATCTTGAGACTTTCCTTCTGAAGTTTGGAGTTCATGGTGCCATGACCTCCTTAATTTTAACAACTCCTCTATAGTGGGTAGTTTCCCAGAGTATATTTGTACATATCTATATTTCTCCAACCTACCTCCCTTTCTTCTATGGACCACGTTTCCATGACTTTGGCAATTTCCACCTTGAGAATTTCCTTCTAGGTTTAGAGTTCATGGGCATGACCTCCTAGATTTTAGGATTGTTTCATCGTGGGATTATATCCAACCCACTTCCTTTCCTTTCATAGACCACGGTTTCCTTGATTTTAGGCTGAACCTTCCATGGCGTTATGGTCACCGAGTTTACATCGTGGGTTATGGTTGTTGCTTTCTTCCTTAATTTTAGCAACTTCTCTTCAACCTTGACTTCCTCTGGATTTAGACCTCATGGCTTCATGGACTCCCTTCTCACTGTGATTCCTTCATCGTGGGTTTAAGCCTTATATATATATATATATATATATATATATATATAAAGAAATAAATTAAATCCCACGTCTCGCTAAATTTTAGCAACAGAAGTTGACTTAGCTGAACCGTTGTTGAAATCTCCTAAAAATAAGGAGAAGGTTGCCTCTACGTCCTCATGACTTAGTCAACTTTTATTTAATTAGTATCCTACTAAAATAGGATCTTCCAAATAAATTCAACTTTAACAAAATTAATCCATTGTGGCAAGTTTAATAAAGCTCGCCATGTGTCGATAAATTATTGGTTGGCTAACTTTAGCCTTCTTATGAGATTGTACTCATGATAATAACTCCACGCCGTTTTCTTTTCCTTTTAGGACATTATATCCTAAATTTGGTAAGTCCTAGAGGGACTTGCCACTTGCCTTTTAATTTCCATAATTTAAATATTCCAAGGTGGAATATTTATCAATATTGCAGTCTAACATGGCAAGTTCCATTGTACATCTTTTCTATTTAAGGAACCACATTAACAATTCCATGTCACACCCTCTTTTCCTTAGACAATTAGAACATTAAATCAATATGATAAGCTTTGTCAAAACTCGCCATTTGTCTCTTTTCCATTGGGTAAAATAATGGAATAAACACAAACCTTTTGGAGCTCTAAATTCATTCTCCCCAAAAGTATCATTGATGAATTAGACTGTATCTTCAGGTCTTTTCTCTGGTCTGGGCCTGCACTCAAGAGCATTGGTGGCAAAGTAAATTGGGAAGCTTGCTGCCTCCCCAAAAGAGCTGGATGGCTTGGCATTCCCAATCTTGCAACTTGGAACGAAGTGGCTGTTATGAAGCATTTCTGGAACATCATATCAAATAAGGATATGCTTTGGGTCAATTGGATAAACACTTATCTTCTAAAGGGAAGAAGTATTTGGGAGGTTAAGATCCCTGGGCAATGCTCATGGACTTGGAGCAGGCTGGTCAATCTTAGAAGCTCCATCCTTCCACTTGTCAAGCTCGAAATTGGGAATGAAAATTCCTCCAATTTCTGGTTTGACAACTGGAGCCATTTAGGACCACTCCATCGGCTTGTATCTCCTCAACAAATCATCTCTTCAGGCTATGACAGCAAAACTAAGCTCTGCTCCTTCATTTTGAATTCCACATGGTCCTTTCCTCTAGCAATTGCCACAATTACTGCCCACACTTAGCCTTCCAATACCTCAGCCACTAAAACAAGACAGGATCATATGGTTACCTTCCCCAGCAGGAAATTTCTCCATTGCTAGCACAATGATACACCTTACCAAGCACTTGCCAACCCTTCCGTGGACACACCTTGTCTGGACCAAACCACTGATTCCTAAGTATGCCTTTACACTTTGGGTTGCCATCCGACGTCGACTCCCAACTATCAATAGAAGATGCACGGCGCACCTAAATGTCACAAATTGCATCCTTTGTAATACCAATCTGGAGTTACATGACCACCTTTTATTCATGTGTAGTTTTGTCAAGCCAATTTGGAATTTTATACAGGCACGTTGTGGTTTCCATATCATGCCTTCCTCCTGGCCTCAGCTAATCACTTGGTCATCCCACCATTGGCGAGAGAAATCCAGTTCATGGTTCTATAGCAACTCTATTTCTAGAATGGCACTTGCTGCACTGGTATACAACATATGGATTGAGCGCAACAATCGAATTTTTAAGAAAAAATTCTCCTCAGCAAATGTGGTACTCAACCAAACTCTTCAGGCAATTAGATGGAAGCTGTTATCCTATCCCGTCTCGGACTCCCACGATGTTAACAGATTATATGAAGAATGGGAAATCCACCATCCACATGATCGACCTCCTGCAGAGCCTCCTGATTGAATACTCGTGGAGTTTTCTCCATGTTCCACGTCTCTGTGTTGTTGGATCCTTCAGTCCTTGCCCCACTGTGTTTTTTGTTTCAATTGTGATTCTTTCTGGGTTAGGTGGGCCTTTCTTAGCTAGGCCATATGTATATGTTTCATTGTAATGTCTGTTGTATCTTGGTCTAATCTGTAGGCCTTCTACCCTTCTGTATTTTAATATATTGACTTCATCTTTCAAAAAAAAAATGTAATTGATGCTTGAATAATTCTTGAAAGTGGGTAAGTTTGGCTGATATCAATCCGAATATTAATTTTTAATACAGTAAGTATTGAACGAGAAAAGATGGTATAATTTGCAACATACATAATATGATTTACTCAAAGGAAGAATGACAATGCATATATATCAATTCAATAGCACAATAAGTAGCTTATTATAAAACTTGAAAAAAGGTGTGCACATAAAAGAAAAGAGAAAGGATGAAAATTATATAAAACAGAGATATGTACATTAATAATCTCCCAACAAAAATTAATCAATATATATCAAGCTCCATTCTCTTGATTTGGCTTCTTCCTGGCTTGCATGTACGTTTTGACCTGGGAAAAAAGTTCCAATAGGAGCGCTGAAACTATGATAAGGGCAAGTGTGACATAGTAGGAAATCTTCCATATTTGTCCGGGATGTAGGATGCTGAATCCTATAAAGATATTGGCCACACTCAAACCCAGAACTCCATATCCAACAATATGATGATACATGTTCCAGTAAGATCTGTACTTGTGGTCCGGCTTGGGCCGTAGACAGAGAGCAAAAACCTAAACACAATAACAAAAAGCTTTTGTTAATATTAATTCTACACTATATATATAAAAAAAACATATATAGAGTAATGTACTTAGATGGGTATATATGCATATATGATAAGTATTAGCATTATGGTTATAATATACCTGAAACAGTCCAAGGACAAAGATGGTGGTGCCAATGGCCATATGGTTCTTATGTTGAACACCAGGAGAAGTGACGCCAAGATAAAGACCAGTTGCCCATCCGGCTATGCCGAGCAGGAAGGCGAAGGACTGCAAACCACGATGAAGGCGGAACCATGTGCTTGATTTTGGTTGGAAAGCCTTCAAGTACCTAGCTACCATAACTCCAATTGGCATCAACATCCCCCAGCTGATTGCACATACAAGTCCATGAACCTGTAAATTATATATAGAGATCATTTTAATTAATTAATCAGTCATCGATCGGAAACTAATGAGTAACATATTGATTCGGTTGAATCTATATTTGATATAACTTTGCCCTACGTACATAGATCGAGAGAGAAGAAATAGAAAAATAATAATAATAATAATAATAATAATAATTTATATATATATATATATATAATTTTGTTTTTATATATATATATATATATATATATATATATATATATATAATTTTGTTTTACAGTATATTTAAAAAGACTCGACCATATAAAATTAACTATTTTCAATTTTGTATTAATAAAAAATAAGAACGTCCAACAAAACCAAGTCGGTTCATTAATATTGAATCTCTTTAGATTAATAAATTTATATTCCAAGAAACATGTAGGTGATTAAACAACAAATAATACCAATTAGAAAAGCAGATTTTCTTGACACAAATATTTATATATGCATTAATAAACTTGAAGTTTGAATAACTTACATTCCGTATGATGATCTTTGAGTTTTCCCTCCTTTCGCGGTGACCGTCTGTCCGGAAGAAAGGTTTAGCATCCCCGTAGATTGAAGATGATTTGGTGAAACACCATGTATTCCAAGAGTAGTCCCAAGTAAAGGACCATCCTGCCAAACATGGTTTATAGTAGTGGTATTGCTAGGAAGCACAAAAGTAGCAAAAACAGTAATTTCACTGTTCACGTTGGAATAAGAGGCAGATAAATCGTAGACAGGTACGCTCAGATTGCCTTCTTGCAACTTTGTGGCGTAACGATTGATTGGTGAAGTGTAGACATTCATGCTTCCATCAGGTTTGGGGTATGCAATGATCGCCTGTGACCCCACCATCCTTTTGATGTGGGATTAATAGCCCATGCAACCCATGTGGGCGAAGAATTGACAATATTGGTGTGTTGGTAAGCTACTTTTAGGGTTCTTGAAGATGGGTTATAGGTCCAGTGGAGAAAAGAGTTCAAGACTGGAAGATCAGAACATATAGTAAATTCTGGGAAGTCAAAGTTTGAACATGAAGCGGAGGATAGAGAAAAAAAAGATGCCAAGAACAAAGGGAGGAGACACCGAATCAATAGCTTCATTGTTCTCTTCAGGTGTACGGAGAAGATAGGGAAGATCGAAAAATTTGAAGAAGAAATTAAGGATCTTTGGGGGCGATGAAAGAAATAACTGGTTAGTGTTCTATTTATAGAAGATGAGAGAGGGTACTTACTACTCCTGCAACAAGTATACCATTAATAAAAGATAAATATACTCCTTGAAGGAACTTGATTTGCAATCTTCCTAGAAAGTATGCGAATGTGGGATAAATGGATAATTGAAGAAACTTGATTTGAAGGGTCACACTAGCGTCGGATTGAGGCAGTGTTTTACTTGTTGATATGATGGAGTGGTGTTGTATTTTTATATTGCATAGGTGTTTATTATTGTATTGCATCAGATGGCTCACACTGATTATTTTGTGTTTTGAACTGCCCAATGCACTCAACAAATCTTCATTTGCATGCGTGCATTTTGAGTCCGTCAGATGCACTCATGTTGTATTATAGAAGATCCCTCTCGTGTTTTATCAATTTTGTTAGTTTTGTCGGTGTTTTTGTTTGGCTGCCACTAACAAAAAATTTTGAACTAACAAAATTTATCAAGTTACCCCCAAATCCGTGATCGACCTGTTAAATGAGTTGTAAATTGTCAAAACTGGCCTTTCTATTTAATATTAAATTAAAAACTAACTAATATTTTGACCTTACTATTTAATATTTTAAAATTACAAAAATAATATTGGAGGCGAGAAATTGGTCATTGATATCTACTGAGGTAACAACCTAATTAACATTAAATAATATCATTATAAAGGTTATTTTTTTTTTTATATTTTATTTTATTTTTTTAAAATAATAATTGTAGCTTTTAATTTAATATTGAATAACAAGGTCTAATTTATTCCCCTTCAAAAAATTATATATATATTTTTCTTGTTATTTTCTCTTAAAAAATTTCTTCTTCTTACACTCACTCATGTATGATGCATGTGTAGTTATGTTCTTTATTTTTAAAATTTATTACTACACGCCATTATGTGATATTTTAGTAGTTCAAACTTTCAACATATTACCTTTCAGGGGAAAAAAAAAAGAAAAAAAGAAAAAAAAAAGAGAAAACTTTCACCATATTTACTTTGAACTTTTATCTCAACTACTTCCAATTTCATGCACCACCATTTTTCGAAATAAATGTAAAATGACTTGGTCTTGATTGATGTGGTGCATTTTGAACCATTCCATTTGCACTAGAGAGTATCGCGCAAAGGAGTACACTTGAGAGAATTCTAATCACATAGTTTGAAGGCTTTTTCATTCCTAAGTAGTAGTTTTAGTTAATGGAATCACTTCAATAATGAGAAATAAATTCTGTTTACTGTACAATATCAACAAGTTTTAATTACCGAAAAAAAAAAAAAAAATCAAGAAGTTATTGTCTGTCATTGGCTGTCCATAGTTCACTTCCAAAAAAAAATTAATAACAATAATGATAAACAAATACGTAAAACTGTTTGTTCATGAAAATTTCATCCATTGGTTAAAAGTTATGTAATAAATTAAGAATAAACACATTTTACTTTTGTGAATGTATGGTGATCTTTTATGATCATCAACATAGAGAGCTCCTGCAGTTCAATAGACATTTTAACTCCAATAATACACTGCTTGTCTTTTGAAACCTCATTTCATGGCTGAGGGGGTTGGCTTGTCCTCAGTACAGAAGAATAGTAATTGGATTCAAGCTCCTTGAGGCTAGCAGCTGCTTCCTCTCCAATTCTAGCCAACATGCGATCGGTTCTTTCCGACTGTTGGTTGAACTCTTCTATTCTTTGCTCTACATGATCATTTAGGGATGCGAATCCTGAAAAAGTGGCAGTCTGCTTCAATTCCGACACCAACTTAAGCAATGAGTCGGATGCCTGAACCTGTTGTATGTGCATTATCAATGGTTAAAGGATGAAAAAAGTTCGAAAATACTAAGTAAAGCATTCAAAACCCATATGTAGCATGACCAAAGAATAACAAACCTACCACTCTGTCAAAAACATTACCCAATGTGGACGCAACACATGATCTATGGGACTCGACAAATTAGATGTTCACATATGCATGTGGCATGTCTTTATACTTCTCATACTAAGAGGAGGAGGAGGAGGAGGAGGAGAAGAACCCTTACCATTCTGGCTGCCCTCATCTCCATCATGAAAGCTTCCTGTGAATTTCGAACTGGTGGATCATTAACCTGCAATGTGTCTGAAACTGTCAAATAGCTATTACATACAATAAATTCATTTTAAAAAATCCTTTGGTTATTGTTCAAACATATTTCAAATCTATTGCACACATCAGAAGATTAAAACTTTGATGCTCTCCTTGTAATAACTCCTCAAATAAACTTCTTGAACAACATTTACTCAGGTAAAACTCAAGCAGCAGCTAATGGATTGGTCAATATTGCTAATAATATTTGATGCGTTCTTGTCATGTTTCATTAGTTAAACATATGCAAATAAGCACTTTATTTCACAGAATGAGCTACTAAATTTTGAAAAGTATGGCACTGACTTCTCCTAGTTATATGGAGTAATTCAGGTGTCTATGGAAATATTATTCCCTTCTAGTTTTAAAGCATACTAGTCAATTAAAAAAAAAAAAAGGGCTAGATCCTAGATCCCTGGATACTAACAGCTTTATTTTGTACTAGCAGGCAATAACTTATCCATAAAAATATCAAGAAGCAATGATTAGCCAGGTAGCTCAATCTCAATGATTAATGAGCTCTAAGCATCGGAAAAGATGTCATAAGGGAACAAAGAAACTCTAGTAACTCATTCCATACAATCTATAGGAACAACAAAAATTGGAGTTCGTGCAATTATTCATTCCTAATTCAATCCTGTTATCAACAGTTAATGTTTCCAAGAAATTGGGTTCAGAAAGCTCTCCAATCCTGAAAACTTGAAGACGAATGTACAGAAAAACTATGTGAACGATGCAAATTCCTAAATGTTGGAATAATGGAAATTAGGTGGTTGATTTATTCAAGTCCAGAAATGAAGATGTTGACTTAGGCCAGAGGTTACAGAAGTCATAAGTTACTGAAACAACATTTACCTAATTTGAAGCCGTGAGATATTTTGAACTGAATGATGAAATTATTGAACATATACTCCTAGTAAAATTCAGTTCATAATTTGATAGTATTTACATTTCAGATTAGGAAAAAAGCTACTTATAAATAGAAGGGGGGGGGGGAGAATTTTTTGCGTAGTTTCTAAGAGCTTCAGACTAAAATTTTCAAAAGTATCTTGTCCAATGTCCAGTTTTAACTTCACTAGTTGCTACAAGGAATTATACATTCTAACAGTATAATTTAGTAAGCAATGTTACTAGGCTCTAGGGTGGCGATTATTTCATATTGTAGAAGCCATAGTGCTTGGTAAATATCTCCCTCCCTTTCTCTAAAAGCAAAACACAATACTGCATGCCCATCACTCATGCATTCCATGAACCTAATCAATGCGCCAGAGCCCAGAGATCTATCTAATAGTTTATAACCCAAGTAGGATAGAAATTTCTAGTAGAGAATTATGTATGGTTAAGCACCAACACTTCTCTCAGACTCACTGGGAAGTGTCTGACACACACAAATGATTTTCATGATTCTCAAATAATTCATTTTAATTTTAATGGTAGCTACTCAGAAATTCCCTAGCTCACTTGAGCCACAAAAACCACACCATATGAGCTTTCCCATGACTTAAAATCATATCCCTATAAACCAAAGAACCACACTGCCATGATTTTAGATCATTATCTTGAAAACGCGTGAAGGGGTCAAGTTAAGTGGCATCCAACTTCTACCTCTGAAACGCCCTTCACATGATAATCTGCCATTATTTGATTGTCCACATATCCATTAGGTTAAAATATACGCTCAACTACATATGTTTACTTCACTTCTCATTATTTTTCCATTTAAATTTCAATCCTCCCCATGTAATATTATCCCTGGAAATGCCCCTTCCTTAATTGCCAAAGGCAGATTTCAGCATTCATGGCCAAACAACTTCTAACTGGAAAGGCACATTTGGCACGGCAAAGAAGAGAAACTATTGAGGCTAGCCATATAGAGGAGCTTAATGATGAGGAATTATGTACAAGGGAAGTGTGAATTGTGATGGTATAAAAACTAATCATGGGCAGACCTGCCTACCCAAAAACCAGTAATGTGACCTTTATTTCACATTTTAGTCAGAATCTCTTTGATTGAGATTGCTTTGATAAAGTACAACAACATACTGTTGATGTATGTCATGCTGAAAAGTACACCATGGATTTGACAGAACAAATTACCAAGCAACAAAAGTTCTGAGTTCTCGATCCCAACCCCCTGCAAATCCTCACTAAAGGGAGTAGCATTTTTATACTCATTCATAAAATACAACTGATTTGCTCAAACTGCTTAACATTATCTCTTTCATTGTTACAAACTTATCAAAAAAGAAAAAAGAAAAAAGAAAAAGAAAAAAAGGAGGATAATTATACAAGAATTCACAAAGCTATGAAAGTGAACTTAGTTCATGTGTATAAAAGAGAGAGATAGAGAGTACCCTGGCAACATTGACAAGGAAACTGAAATTGTCAACAATATGTCCAATGTCAGTGTCAAGTCTCTGCAACAATGTCTTCTGCTTTTGAATTGCAGCGGCAGCTGTAGCAAAGGTTGGTCCACCTCCTCCCCCACTTCCAGTACCAACTCCTCCTCCTTTATTCATTGGGATTTTTAACTAGCTGGTTGTTGCAAAAAGAGGAACTTTCACTTAAGAAATGCAGAATTTGAAGATCTAAAATATTTACAAATATCTACATGTGGGGCTGTTTTGATAAAGATTGATTGGCACCCAAAATAGTCGCTCATTCATTTTGATTCATATTGGGCAAGGGTGAAAGTATAATAAGATAGATACAAAAGAAACAAAGCTAAGACTAAAACAATAGACCAGAGAGATGGGCCGTTGAAGAATCAAAACCATATGAACATTCAAATCAATTTACAAAAAAGAGGAAACAAATGAACTTTTCCTTGAATATTAATTATTTATGGAAACAAAAAAATAACAAGGTAATACTGAGCTATGAACAGCTCCATGCTGAAGTATTCTTGAACCAGAAGAGGAAGGTCCATAACAATAGGATGGAATCACAATATCAAACATTTCAAGACAAGTAATTTTTTGTCTTGACACAATGCCAAGGCAAGTTTCAAAATTGATATCTCAGTTAACCTTCAATTCAATTTATACACCCTTAATCCATATGAAAACTAGCAGTAGAATTCTAAAATAATTTTGATTTGTTTTTGTCCAAACAATAGCATGATCAACTTTATCCCAATTGACCTTCAATTAACTTAATGCACTCATGATGAGGCCACTTGTTGCAGAGTTTTAAAATGAAGTCCAAGAAAATTTTATCAATAAGCATCATCAAATCATCCTTATTATTGTTATTGTCATTATCATTTCCGTTGTTACAAATATTGCTATTGTTGTCGTTACCAAATTTTCTTATATATGCAAAAATATTTGGTTGAAGAGAAGTCTAAAAACAACAGATTCATGTTGTTTGCAAGGGATCTCTCAATCACTTAGTCTGACGACAAACTTTACTGGACTGGCCCTACATAAGAGAAACCAAGTAGAGGAAATATCTAATCCTGACCTAAAGACCAGGTAATGAGTTTGGGATATCCAGGATAGATCATAGCAAGAATAACAGAGAAATGACCCAAAAAATTCCACCAGTCTCTCTATGTTTATAAGAACAGAAGATAGAATTTCGATTTTTGATCCATTGGAATGAAAATTAAGATGTATTGAGTTCACAAGTGCTTCATCTAGTATAGTTTGATTCTTAATGATTACATCTCATTTCGCAGTGATGTGTTTGTTGACGTTGCCGAAATGCTAAATTTATGTGGGCTGGAAGTTGATAAAAAATTTGAGACAGTAAAACTCTCACCAGGAGTTCCTTATGAGGTTGTATTTGTTATAATGTTGAAAGACCTTGCTTATGGGTGGGAAGTTCCAGTGAACCTTAGACTTATTCTCCCAGGTGGAAACAAACAAGAAAAAAAAGAAAGCTTGAAGGAAAAGCCAAGGGAACTCAACTAAGAAAAAAAAGAAGCCAAGGGGACAATAGATAGAGATCCCAGTAGGGGAGTTTGGGACGTCACTAGATAAGGTTGGAGAAATTGAATTCTGAGTGTATAAATATGGAATTGGAAGAGAGGGCTATCAATAAAAAGTGTTGCCATCTATGTTACATGGACTCTTCAAAAGTACGTGAAGTACCCCTGTTGGACACACAATACTCAAACATGGGTATGAGATATGTGTTCAACACTTTTGGCTGGACATGCACCTAAAAAACACATCAAATTACTCAATTTTATTATATTCCAAATTGAATGAACTGCTTATATGAGACATTATGCTACATAAAGACACTATTTTACACTAAAAAATAAAATGAAAATAAAAATAATATGAATATTTAGCAATGTCCACGTGTCCTTCTGTTTGGGGATTTGACACATACAATAGTGGATACATACCCGTACCATTCGACCAAAAAGCTTATATATTAGAACATCCAAGAATTTTAACCACACATGCAGTTTTCTGTTTACCTTTTTATGCATGTGTTTCAGAAACATGTTATGAATATAACCACAACTACCAGAGCCTTTCATAATAACCTTCTTTTACATTGCTTTCAACTAAGACTTCACAGCAGCAATACAAACCAGCCATAGAAAACAAAGACTTTGAGAATGCCGAACCATTGAAACCGTGATGCAAGTATGTCCACAGTTCTAAATATCATTGATCAATTATGCAATATTCATGTTGTGTTTGGGAGCACCGAATCAGATGAACTAAATTTCCTCCAATTTCAATCCCAATTCTCCAATTTGGTGCTCCCAAACACAGCATAAATGTAATTGATGATGCAAGTGTGTAAAGCTACAAATATTCCACTTAAAAAGGGAAAGACAACACAGTTTTGTAGACAGAAAAATTCATTTTCATGTTTGTTTACTTCTCACAAAGACGAAGATGACAAAGAACAGGCCTTATACCCAAACAACTACCCAATACCTCAATTATGCCCCAAAACACAACCCCATCTCTAGTGAGTAGTGTACTATCAGAACACGATTTGCAAGCATACCAAGGCAACCTCTTATCATCTAGTATACACAACACACTATTACCAGCCCATTTTACCTGGAAAAGCTACTACCTACAAAATTTGGAGCTCATTTTTAATTGCAGTACTTGCAATTTTGAAGCTCATTGTAAGGCTCTAAAAAGGTGAAATTAATGTATTTATGTATATATATACCTCTATATACAGAAATCATGGCACAAAATGGTACCTTAACCTTTGTTCAACAGATTAGGGCTTGAATCGCCATGACCCGAATCCTTTACCTTCGTTATTTTGTGACGCTTTCATCGAGCATTAGGGCTTCAATGGCGGTGCATTAGGCTGTGTTTGGAAGGAAAAAAAAATAAAAGTTTGTTTGAAAAAACTTAATTTCTTTTCGAAAAAGCTCCAAATGAAACTAATGCTAAGACTATTTTAACTAGGGTTGCAGCTAGGCTGCAACTCGGGAAGGCCCAATCCGAAGTAACTCGAGCCCAGTCCGAAGTTTTGTGAGCTTTGGTAATGCTTTTTTAATTTCAGTTTGGGTCTGGGCTATAAATTTTGAGCCCGAATTCAATTTGGTCTAGCCTTGGGTTGATATCGATAAGCCCGAAGCCCAACCTGAGTCTGGAAATATTAGACTGATATATTTATAACTAGACTTATATTACAAGAGTGTGATAGTCCATTTGGCAGTGTGTTCGGGATTTAAGCTAAAACTTTCAGGTTCAAGTTCTGGGAGCAACATAAATTCTTGCAAGTACCAAAAACCACATTAAGTTAATGCATTCTCAACTTAAAAAAGTAGGTCAATGTTCAGGGGCAAAGTTGGTGTATTTTTTGTCCAAAGAAAAAAAAAAAATTGTAAGTCGGAATACGGACTAATTAGACTAGATGCTTGTTATTTTTGTTTCAATATAATTACAAAATCACGCCGATGTATCCTAAGAGTGTCCAAAACATATTATTGCCGTAGGCGAACTTTAATGCGAGGCCCTTTATATATAAAGTTTCACACGCACAAAAATAAATGTCTATTTTTTGAATCCTTAGGAAAATTTTCAAGTTTAGCATCTCTTGGAGGACCTCTTTCAACTAATAAATCTCTCATTTTTTTATCAATATTTTTCCAATTTCCTGGATCATTAATGTTCAAAGGAAAATTATCATTCTCATTCATATTTTCTTCATTTACCAAATCTTCAAGTTCATTCACATTCTTCATTTTGATTCTCATTCCTATCTTCATTCATTAAATCTCCATGTTCACTACGATTTTCTTCATTCCTATGTTCTTCATTCACCAAATGTTCAACTAAACTATCTGTTTGTGTATTGTTCCTAAAAAGCTTATGAATAGCAGTCTTTTTGAGATTGAATCAATTTTTCTTCTCTCTTCTTTCCTTTTTTTTTTTCATGCCCAGATTCAAATTTTCTTGCAGACATAAATGACAAAAAAGAAAAAGAAAAAAAGAAACAGAAATAGAAGTTATAGAATTATATATATATATATATATATATATATTTGTTTTGCTGAAATAAAATGTAGATTACCTCAAAATGCAATGCAATGAATATGACACTATAATACCTTTTACTGTAATCAGCCCCTTCACACTAACACTCAAATCAAGCTCCTCCAAGTTGCTCAAAGCACAAAAGTCTACAAAAAATGAAAATTTTGTTGTTTATATATTAATAAATTTTGTTACTTTATATTCTACTTTGTTTCATATACAATTGGGTGCCCATATTAATTGACAGATTTGCGCTTCATGCGGTTAACATTCAATTTATTATTAGAATGAAAAAAACTGGAATAAAATATATATATATATATATATATATATATATATATATATATTGAATAATTGAAGAAATGACTTACCAGTCTGAAGTGATGAAAGCACTCTAAAAGAGGGTAGGACCGTAGGATGCTGTAATTGTAAAAATTATAATCCACGATAAGGGCCTTCGGCTTGTTCAAGACTCAAGTTCAACCCAAATTTACCAATTAGTCTTCCAAATCCTGCAAAGGGAGATCCTGTTTCAGTCATTATCTTCACAAATATTTATAACTAAAATTCATAAAATAAAAAAAAAATTATATAAAAAAGATCATAAAAAATTTCACCAAATAGGATTCAGTTTGCAAAACAAGAATTACAGACCTTGATTAATTGATTTAGAAAAAAAAATTAAAACAAAACCCATACATACAAGTTAGCAGTTGCAGAGAGAGAGGGGGGCAAGCTTGAGAGTTGAGAGACAGCGGCTGAAGCTTGCGAACGGCGACTGGAACAGCGGGCGATGGAAACTGAAAGATATGGGTTTTGATTTTTTGAACAATCTGAAATGATTTGCCGATATGGGTTTCGATATAGGTAATAGGTAGACTTTGTAGTTTGCAGTTGCAGAGACAGAGAGAGGGTAAGTTCGGAGTTGAGAACAAGAATAGAGATGGAGGCGATTGGCTGAAATGATGTGCCCTAAATTTTTTTTTCCTGGTGGCCCATCATCCATGGGCCTATAAATTTTGAGGCCCTAGGCAACCGCCTTGGGTCAGGACCGGCCCTGTGCTAAGCATCCATCCAGACAAAGCCGCTTGAACCATGACAGAATTGGGCTTGGACTAAACCCATTTTCAAGGGGTGGGTGAAAAAAACGGTTGAAGTAAATAAACACGATTTCAACCAATCTCTGTTCTTAAATTTGAGGTCCTGTTTGGATTTGTTGTGAAAAAGCCGCTTTTGGCCTGGTCAAAAGTTTTAAACGCGTGAAAAGAAGTGGTCTCCGTCTTGGTCAAAACTACGGTTACCGACGCGTGTCAGTCTGGGACTTAGTGGAAGCAAGACGACTTGGAACTGTCTGTGGATCGCTGTGCTCAAAATAAATAGTAGTAGAAGACAGCGCACGAAGTCCAAAGAAGAAGAAGACCTTTCCCAATCTTTTTACTTGTAAGTTCGTATGTTCACTCTTTATTTTTTAAAATATTTATTTTCACAATTTAATAATCGTACTGTTTGGGCTACTAGTATTGTTTATGTTACAGTTACAGAAATGGCATAGTTTGAGTTCATTTGATGAATTTTTAGTCATTGTGTTTTGATTCCTTGCTTTGATTTTGTCTGGAACTTACTATATTGTCGCTACATTTGTGGTTATATATTATATATAACTATATCGAAGGTTTTTGCTTTTAATCTCTACATTCAAGTTTTTTTTTTTTTTCTAACAACTACATTCAAGTTGAAGAAGGTCTCTTTCTCCCTATCTGTGATCTAGGGTTTCATACATTTTACTTCGTTAACCTCTGTTTCTCTGGTGTGTATTTCTGCTGAGAATGAATAATTGAATCAAAGAAAGTTAATCTTGAGAGCTTCATTTCTTGTACATGAACTAATTGTTGTAGCATTTTTTTAAAGATGATATATATATATATATATATATATATATATATATATATATATATTGCAACTTTTCTCTGCTTCCAGTTGTTCCTATCTCCTGCCAGTGCAATTAAGATAATTTGGTTTTTTCTCCATGATTTTCTAATTTGAGTCATTATAAATTGTTTCAATATATATATATATATATATATATATATATTGTACAGCCACTGGTTTTTTCTTTATCTGAAAGTTGTTTGTGGCTTTGCATAAATCGTTACTTGATTATTTGATTTTTTTTTTAACCATTAATTTTTCCATACATGACTCTCTCTCCCTCAAAATCTGGTTTGTAACTGAGAACTTATTCTTTATTGTTCTTCTTCGACAGACTGAGTTTATACGTTGAACCTGGTCAAGATATATATATTTTTTGTTCTTTTATATTGTTAAGTTTTCCTTTCAAAGTGCTGACTTGTTCATTGGGGTCTTCAGTTGGGATCAGCTTATGTTTGGGGAGCAAATAAGCATGTCTATGATGATTATAAACGATAATTATTCTGTTTCTTTATAGCTTGCTTTTGTTGAAAAGTTTGAGATTGTTCTCATAGTTCTGTGTGTTTATCAAAATTGTATTGGCTTTCCAGGTTGTAGTTATTGCCTTATTTCTGAAGTTGATGCCTTTGTAGGAGTGGACTATGGGAGAACCTTTGGGGCTGTTAAAAGTGATTGTTGTGCAAGGGAAAAAATTGGTAGTCAGGGACTTCAAGAGCAGTGATCCTTATGTCATTGTTAAGCTTGGCAACCAGGTTATTATGTGTTCTAGAAATTATTTTATAACACTTCCTTTTCGCTTGTGTGTGTACGTGCGCGCACGCATGTGGAGTTCGTGGATATTGGTACCTTTTTTCTTTCAAAATTTTGGCTCCAATCATGTTTTTTTTTTTTTTTATTATTATTTTTTTATTTTATAAAAACAATCAGCATAATTGCGATTTAATTCATTTATTATTTAAATGATTAGAAGTAATCCTTTTTATTTTGACTACCACATTTAAAATTTGAAAGTAGAAACTGAGATTAAATTAGCTAAAGTAGTGCAAACTAGACATTTCCTTAATTTGATTAAAATCCTTAGTTTTGAAGGATGAATCATGATGAAACTGGTCGGTGAGTATGACAAGGGCATAAAACTCCCTTCTCATTATGAAACTAGTCAGTCTTTTGAAAAATAAAGTTGACAGTATTAATGCAACTGTTGGATAAGCACAAAAAGAAAAAAATCAAAAGGATGGTAGTGACTATGACAATCAACTCATCCGTTAAATGACAAAATTACGTCATAAAAAATGTAATATATGTCTGTGTATGTAAATATATTTGTGTATGTATACCTACAATTTCTAATAAATTTTAAAGTTTTCATTATGTCTTAGTATTCACAATATAAATCCGGATATTACTACTATTACCAAAATCAAACATTTGGATTAAATATGTCATAACAAGTTTAAACGATCAGTTATGTTCAGTAATGTGAGGGCTGGGAGAAGTTGTTCTTTTCTTTCCTTTTTGGTCCTCTACCAAATTCAATTTACTACAAAAGAGATTTACAGGAAAAAGGAAAATTATTGCATCTCTCTTTTATTTGTGGGGTATCTCAGTGGTATTTACTTGTCTTCTATGTATTTCATTTAGATGATGTCAGTGAGAGAATATAAATGTGATTGTGGTACAGCTGTTTATATGTCGTTAATTATATTTTTTATAGTTTGAGATTTTATTTTTAAATATTCATACCATCTTGCTATTTTTTTCTCTCTAATTTTTGGTGTATAAAAAAAAAAAAATTCTCTTGGAATTCTATCTCACACTCAACGTTTGGTGTACATTGCACAGTCTTTGCTCTGTGTTTAATTTCTTTACTTGAGTAAACATTTGACTACCTTAAATTTTATCTTCTGTTTCAGACAGCAAAGACCAAGGTTATAAACAGTTGCCTTAACCCAGTTTGGAATGAAGAACTTTGTTTTTCCCTCACAGAACCTTCTGGAGTTCTAAACTTGGTTAGTTTCTAATTTCTGAATTTTTTAAATATCCAATTGTACTTCCATTTAATACATTGCATTATAGTTTTCTGTTAGTTTAAAGTTTTCTTGGCCGTCTTTGTATTGTTGATAATCAAGATCAGAGCACTGGCAGTTTAATCAAAAAATTTATTTTATATAATTATATCATTACCTTTGTCAAGTTGCAAATTGGTTGAATGTCTTATGCGAAGCTGCAAATGATTTTAATATTCTATATACAAAATCAAGTGTACACCTTTTCATGAAAGTTTCTTTAACTTCTTTTGGAACTTTTGTTAAGTTTGTGTTTGATGAGTCTGATCTTGATTGACCTGGGCTAAGAAGCACAAACACTTCTATGAGGGGCCGTGTTTGTGTCTGACACCGACACTCCATGGACACTCTTAACATGTGTCTGACACTTCATGACCATGTCCATTATTTAAAAGTAAATTTTATTAGTTTGGATACTTGGCCGACACATTTCGGACACTCGGTTCCTCCAATCTCGGACACATCTTACACTCCTCATCTTATATAAAACAAATACACGAGGACAAAAATATGAACATGAATCAAAGTGTTGAACCTCTAAGGAACAAAAACATAACTATAATGACAAGATATGATGTCATCTTTTATCTTATATAACTTTAGTGTAGAAGTTATAAATTAATTAAAGTTACTATGATTGTCTCATTCAATAGATATATAAATAAAAAATTATATTTCTATTAGCCGTGTCCGTTTCCTACTTTTTTAGAATTTGACGTGTCGTATCATGTCCGTGTCCCGTATCCATATCCATGCTTAGTAGGACCTGGGAGTAGTGTACTCTTTGTAGATATCAAAGAAAGCTTGCTTAGTATTCCTACTTAGATGACCTCAGTCCTGAATATAGTATATATACTTTTTAATCCTTGACTTTCTCTATGGATGTTGCTTTTCTTATCTTGTCTGTTTTACTTCAAAAACCTCATTATCAGCTGGGAGAATTGGGAGTGAAGAAAAATTTCTCCTTTGGTTCCTCTTCTTGTTCCTTTTTTCTGTTTGATATGCATCCTAAATAATCTACTGCTTCTACAGTATGATGGTAGGTTAACACATGTATATATGTATTATGTATATATATAGTTGTAAAGGGAAATTAGTGGTTTACCCTAGGAAGCATATGGACACATCCAATATATATATTTAAAATTTACAAAATTTGACACATGTTAGCCGCGAACATGCGCTTAACACATTTGGACACTTTCTTAACATCCAATATATTTATATATATTTAAAATTTACAAAATTAGGATTCATTTGGGACACATGGCATACAATTGGAGTACACGTCCAGACTCGTCTGGAACATGGTGGGGTCCTTGTCCTATTTTAAACTTTAAAGAACAGGGGACATGTTTTGAGAAACTGTAGAGCTTGGGTGCAAAGAAGTTGCTTTCTAATCAAGATTTGAACTCTGAAGCCCCACTGCTTAGTTGGTGGATTGAGATAGAGAAAGGGGGGAGGGGAGGGGAGGGGAGGGAGGAAGGAGGAGGAGAATGAGGGGGAGGTGGAAGAGGAGGGCATACTGAGGGGGAGGTGGAAGAGGAGGGCATACTGTTGGCATTGGGAATGAGACGAAGTGATTTCATCTCATTTTGCTCCTAGAACATGTCCCAACAGCTTCCTCTCAGTAATGCGATGGGCTAGGTAGTGAATTTTTTTTTGTAAGTCTGCAAAAACCAGAACAGGGTCTGATTGGAAATCCTTTTCTTTGTTGTCTCTCCCTGTTGAATCGACCATAGTGAAATAGGGTTTGATAGTGATACCCCTCATCTAATTAATAGTTATACCCCTCATCTAGTTATCTGATGACTTGCATTCTTTTCTTTCTTTTCCCCACACACAAAAGAGAAGTGCCCAATTCTTTTGTTATTTTATATCTGTAATACCTGTATTCTTTTAGGAATAAGCATATCTTTAAGAAACTACGGCAAATGTAAAATTTTCTAATGTCCTCGTTGTATCTTTGTCCTTTTTCTTGAGGTTTGCTGAATCAGCATGTCCCTGTGGTGTTGCATCCCTGCCACTGTCCGCATTCATGCTTCTTAGGGTTTTATTGGGGAAGCGAATTATCAGTGACATGCGTCCTTATCATTTCTCTCCAAGTGGAGTTCCTACTGCTGATGGGTAGTGTCTCTTGCTTTTTTGTATGAGGTGATTATTCACCTGTTGTATACCTTTTTGTTAATACTGGGCAAGAACATCTTTGGGTTGGTAGTTTCCCAATTAAATTTGTCTTAATTTGCATTTTCTTCCAAAAGTAGACTTCTTTTTTTTTTTTTTTTGGTTTTGTTAGCATCTTTGGATAGAACTCTGACTGTCAGTAACCATAGACCAGACAATAGATGATCCTTACTACATCTTTATATGCAAAGCGAAGTCATAAAATTGAGCTCTACTGTACTATTCATTTGGCGATGGTGTTTTTATTGTCTAAATGGGTCGGGATTTTGCTGGTTTCTCGACCTCTTTAGTGGGTTGGTATTGTAAGTTGTGGAGTAGTTATCAAGTAAATTGCCTATACACATCAGACTTCCATGGTTGATTTTGGTCTGAGCTATCCCTCTTGGCTAATGCACTTCTTTTCTTTTTCTTTTTTCCTCTTTTTCTATTTTTATTTTCTGGTTGTTGTCAGGAAGGGGGGAACTTCACTTCTTATCTTGCACATCTATATATGTCTATATCGCTGTTGGTTATATTTTTATTGGGATAAACTTTATCATATTTGTTTTAGACTTTTAACTTCACTAATTACATTGTAAATTCACATCTTCTTCCAAAGGCAATGTAGTTAATTTAAAATTTTATGTTAATTATACTGTATACAAAGTCATATTGAAGGTGCTAATGACATTGTTAATTGAACTTAGATTTTTATCCTTGTATGACTATTGACCATACTATTGCTTCAACAGCAAGTGTTTGATAAAGACCGTTTCAAGGCGGATGACAAGATGGGGCATGCTCACCTCAGCCTCCAACCATTAGTTTCTGCAGCTAGATTAAGGCAGATCCTAGGCGCGTCTTCTGGTGAGACAACATTAAGGAAGGTCATTCCAGACAGTGACAACTGTCTAGCGATGGAAAGCTCTATTAACTGTGCAGATGGTGAGGTTGTTCAGGATGTTTGGTTGAGGCTTTCTGGAGTGGAGTCTGGGGAGATAGAGTTAAAGATCAAATTAACCAATCCTCCTGTTGCTCACTAATGATATTGTAGAATAAAGGCTCACTAAAACATGGACCTATTAACCGTGTGGAGTAATTATATTGTAGCGTTTGGAGGAGTGTTCTAATTTGAAAAGTTCTTTCACTGTAAAGGGAATGACTTCTTTAGAAGGAATTTAGAAAAGAGAAGATGTTTGCCAAATGGTACTTTTGAGAAGTCATTTTATATCTCCCTCCCTGATTTAACATCTTGTTGGGAAGAGATTAATATAGGTGGCTTAGCTTGGGACTAGTATGCTTTTGATATATTGAAGTTGAAAACTGTGCACTCAGAATTTTCTCCGTCGTGGAGCTGTGGGTTTAGATTCTTTCGAATGTGTTCAAATTTTAGGCCCTGTAATTGTTGGGTGTAACATGACTGGTGTGTATATATATATATATATATATATATATATATATATATATATATATATATATATGATGTTGCGCTTGCGCTTAGTACAAGTGATGTATACATTGTTGCATAGATGACAACCGGAACTTCATGTCTAGATGACCAAAAGCTGTTAAATTGATGCTCTGAATTTATCATACATGGGTGTACTCTTCTTGGCCTTTGCTTCTGTTACCACCTCTAGAGAACTAAGTAGTCCCATGTCCATTGATAGGCCTTGTGAGCACCGCCAGCTTCTCCTCCTCGTTTGGCAGAAGGTGCAGGACTTAAGTCCCTATACACGGACAATAGGTAGGAGCTTATGTGTAGAGGTGGTATTGGAGGGTTGCCCCTTACCAGCATGTATCACCAGAGCCCCTGACAAAAGAAAAAGAAAAAGAAAACAGACTTACAAAGAAAGTGTCATGGGATTCTTGAAAGAGATTAATGGTAAAGTAAGCATTGCCAATGCATTTTAATTGATTTCATTGTATTCCTAAATTTAATTGATTCTCCTAATTTTGATTTTAATTTCCTGTTTCATCACTGATGCTATATAAGACTAAATTGCCCTGTTGTGTTATCTTATTGCTAGCTAATCAGCTATTATGCAACATTTCTTTTTTCTATTCCGGTAGGTAAGGATCTAAGTTTTTATGTCCCAAACACGTATAATTCCGAAAGTGAAAGGAAGTAAGAAGAAAACCAAGAACTTCTTGTTGCCCTGAGACGTTTTCCTGTAAATTAATCTAAATATCTCTCCAATAAAAATAATATCTCAAAAGCAATTAATAATTCAAACTTAATCAAATTTCTTCTTGCCAATCTATTTTTTTAACAACTGGCACATGGTACTCAAGATTTAATGACTACTATAAATATTTAGCAATGACCAAAAATAAAAAAAGAGTTACAAATACATAGATATGGATAAAGTCCGCTTCAAATGTTACTCAGAGCAGTCTTGGTTGAAACTGGAAATTTTATTCAATAATCTAATACAAGACCATAGAACAAGCAAATAGAGTTTACATAATTGACTTGTCTGTGACTGAGGTGGGCATGCTTCCCTTATCCTTTCTGAAGAATAGCCCTTCATATATAGGCAAGCTGATAAAAATCACCAGCCCACACAGAAGAATCTGTGGTGCCAATGAATCCAATCCCTCAGTTTTCAAATCCATAACTATCCTCTTCACTCCCCAAACAAAGCTGAACAGGTTGAGCAGTGCAAGTGTTGCTAAAATGGTAAACATTGGCGAATGCGCGCCGAACTCCATGACCTCTTTCTTGTATCTTAGCAGCAGCTCCTCGTCAGCCACCTTTTCTGTGACTACAAAACCTGACTCGGCAAGTCCTAATAGATTCAAGATGGTGTCTATGAAGCCAAATAAGTAGGAAGTTGATCTCTTAAACATCCACTTCCTCTGATCATTACACCAACCTTGAAGTGTGCCGCTGTACCAGAGGAACTCCGCTAAGCTGTATGTGTACTTTGCGATGATGACATATGCAAATGGTAGGATCCACGGGCTCAATAACTGTAGAGTCAATAGATAACTAATTTTGTAAGAGTTAGCAACAATGTTGAGATCTAAATGCTTTGATGGGTGTTGGCAACAATTCAGAATATTACAAGAGGGTGAGAGAATGTCATGAAAAGGTTAGAAGAGCAGTGACTGCAACAAAGTTTGGTAAGGATATAAAGAATCATTGGGGTAAAAAGAAAATAAAGGAGAAAGGCAAAGCATTTTGGAAAAAATGTTGATTTGTATGTAACAAAACGAGGCTCTCTATGTTTTTAAAGATGATTATGATTCCAAACTTTCCCAGAAATAGTAAGATTCTTATAACATCTGTTAAATATTTTGAGGTCCATACCTTTGGGAACAAGGAGATGCTTCTGAGGAGATAAAGTGGCAGGACAGCAACATAGTATAGTGTAGCCAAACAGTTTGGTGCCCACATCGAGTATGGACAATATGAAATTTGAAGTTCTAGAGGGATCCTTCTATGCCCATGCCAAAAAGGACAGTACTTTTAGAGAAAGATCTGAAACTGTCCTTCACACCATCTCTTATGTTGTACTAGTGACTGCAACAGGGTTGTGGAAGCAACTCCCATGAAGCCCTTCCTTTCGGGATTGAAATCGATCGATTTCCAACCTCTGCATTGTATTGCTAGTCCTGTAACTATATCTTCTACTGCACAGCCATACTTCACTCCCATCTGCAAATCGACATGTCTATGAGAGAGGGAGATACCAACGACTATAATCTAGTGGTACTTCTTCATCTTTTAAAGTAGAAGGTCGAGAATCAAGTCCCGTGGAGGAAAAGTGAGTGTGTGAGTTTCAAATAGGAGGGGGAGAGAGAGAGAGAGAGAGTACCTCATTTCCCCATTCAGTGTTTTCTTCATAGCTGTAACTTGCAAGAACCTTGCATGTTTCCTCTAGCACACTTGCACTTTCTTCAACCTCTTTATCGCTCTCTCTCTTCCATTCTTTGCATTCCTTGTTATTCTTCTTCCCACAAAGAGTCTCTCTCCTGTGAAAGCACCCAGTACCAACATACCAAGGTCCTCCATTACCATCCAAACCTGGAGCTTCCACCTTGATCACCAAGAGTTCCTCAAATATATATCAGGCCATACTCAATAGAATCTTCAATTATCAGTACCAAAGGTATAATATTTAGAGGTTTCAAAATATCAATGGTTGTTGCTAAGGCTAACCTGATTGATTACCATCAAGGAACTGCTGTATAGGTCATTCTTTGTAAGATTGTCCATGTTTTGTGGATGTTGTACATAAGCAATCTCATGTCCTTTCTCTTCATCCATGAAAAAGCACAGAGCATCTCTAACCGAATCTGTATTGTTCAAGTACATGTCGCAATCCACATTAAGAATAATGGAGCCATTGCTTATTCTTGATGAAACCCTTATCCATTCAAATTTAAATACAACAATGATTATAGAAAAGTTAACCACAGACAGATGAATCTCATGAACAAGGTGTGCATGTGCGTGCGTTCGCGTTTGCTGTGTGTATTATATATTTCTTACCAGTGCATTTAAGGCTCCTGCTTTAAAGTTATGGTGATAGTGGGGCTCTTCTCACGGGCCAAATATACTAAGGTAGGCAGAGGTTGTCCTTCAATATCCATGGCCTTAGGATCTCTCCCATCAATTAGTATCTATTGGATAAGTAGATGAACTGATAAAATCAAATATAGTGGAAAATAGATTTTAAATAAATAGATTTTTGTTTTTGTTTTTTTTGTGAAGAAAATTTAATGCAAAAAGTACCTGAAGAATGGTCTGATGATCTGTTTGGTAGAAACCAAGTTCCACTCATGAAATCCTTTGTGCTCTTTCCGTAATTCATCTGAAACTTGACCTAGCTTTGTAGTATTTTCAATCCGTTTCTTCATATCTTCGTACAATACCTACAATCAGGAAAAAAAATAAAAAGTAAAGGAAAGAAAAGAAATGAAACGAATCTATGGGAGTTCAGCCAATATACAAAGTTGAAAAGTAACAGTACTAAAAATTTTAAGTCCTTCAATTATTCTTCATACTTATATATGGTATAATTTCCAGAAGTTCGACATTGCTACTCTCAAACTTGGAGTCATCACATTTATGATTTTGGCCTTTTCCCATTGTACCAAGTAATGACCCTAACAACGATAATTTCCGGCTTTTTGTTGTTGTTGTTGTTGATTGGTATATGATTGGTATGTGTAGCATGAAAATAGTTGTACCTTGATGGAGGACCGTTCTTTGGCCATGGTAGGATGACAAATGGGTTCCGAAACTGCAGAAAAATAAGCTGCTGGCGATCTGGGTTCTACTTTGAATTTCTTGCAAAATGGTAGCCAATGCTTTGAGAAGCGAGAGGCCTCTAATAAAGCATAGAAAGTCAAGTCTGATCCACCATCGTCAGATAGATAAACACTTAGCTTCTCTGTTGGGTAGTCATATGCCATGACTGATAGAACAGTGTTGATCACCATTATTGGTGGCTCTAATTTGGGGTCTGCTGTGCACACAAATATGTCTACACCCGGTAGAGCCTTCTCATATCTGTTGTTTCATATTAACAGTAAGAAAGATAGCACACTGACACACACACACATGCATATATATAAATATATATCTCTCTATGAATATATGATTATAATGCACCTTTGAGAGAGTTTGTCTTTGAAAGTGTAACGATAGACGCGATTCCACCTGACAGATTGAGTGACAAGCCAATAGAGACCAAACCAGAGATCACCCAAAAACAAGCCTATCCACGGCCATCTTCCTATTTCACCCTGTGCTGGTAGATGACACTCTGTAAATCCAGATCGAACATATACCCACAAACACCAAAACTGCGTACAATCGGAAGAGTGTACGCCCCTTTGCTGCCTCTTTTGTTTCAAAAAGAGGAAGATAGCCATCTCTCTTCGTATGTGTGTGCGTGTGTGTTTGTGGTGCTTGAGTAGGATTATGCTTTAGGATAGGATGGGATAACAGTATAGTGTCATGTTGTCTTGGTGGAAGAGCTTGTGTAAGCTCTGCACTTACTTTTGTCTGATCATTGACTCTCTCTTTAGTTTAAGGCCAATTTAATAATTGAGATCTAGATCTTTAGCTTAATTATTTCTTAGTGCAGACAAATACACCGAGTTGGTACCTACTTTCTTTAGTCAATTCTGATTTGAAGCAAAAGACAAGTAATAATCAAAGACATAGTTTTTACTTTTTTAGGAAATATTTTGAAACCATATATTCAAATCTAAGTACATAATTTTAGTAGAGACTATGGTCTGCAGTGATAAAAATCTAATACAAGGCTACTAAATGAGCAAGTGTAGCTACAATAATTGATTGGTACGTGACAGAATTTGGCATACGGCCATTGTCCTTTCGGAAGAAGAGTCCTTGGAATACAGGCAGGTTGATGAGAACCAGTAGGGCACATAGCAGCATCTGTAGTGCAAATTGATCTAAAAACTGAGTTTGCAAATCCCAAATGACCTTCTTTACCACCCCAACAAAACTGAACAGGTTGACCAGTGCCAGTGTTGCTATAATGGTGAACATTGGGGAAGGGGCACCGAACTCCATGAGCTCTTGCTTGTATCTCTGAGACACTTCCTTGTCAGCCACCTTCGCGGTGACCACAAAACCTGAGCTGGTGAAGCCTAACACCTTCAAGATTGATTCTGAGAAGCTGAACAAGTAGGAAGTTAATCTTTTGAACAACCACATCCTCTGATCATTCCACCATTCTTGAGATCCACCTCCACACCAGAGGAACTCTGCATAGCTATATATGTATTTTGCAACGATAGCACATGCAAATGGAAGAGCCCAGGGGCTCGATAACTGTGGCACAACAAGATTAAAGTCTTTAAAACTGGAACAATTTATAGAATTATTTAGATGATCATTTGACGAAATTAGGTGAAGTATATAAAATCTATAAGTATCTGTTCTAAAAGTTTAAGGTCCATACCTTTGGGAACAAGGAGATGCCTCTAAGGGTACAAAGAGGAGGGACAGCAACGTAGTATAGTGTAGCCAAGCAATTTGGAGCCCAACCCATGTAGCAACAGTACGAAATTTGAAGTGTTAAGAGGGATCCTTCTATATCCGTACACAAACGGGCAGTGTTTGGAGAGAAAAATCTGAAAATCACCTTCTGACCATCTCTTATGTTGTATTAGTGACTGCAATAGAGTTACCGGTGCGAGTCCTAAAAAACCATCCCTTTTCGGATTAAAATAGACAGGTTTCCAGCCTCTACATTTTATTACCAATCCTGTAATTACATCTTCTACAGTTCTACTGGACATCCATACATCAATCCCATCTGCATATCAACATTTATGATCTCAATATGTGTGTATGTGTGTGTGTGTGAGAGAGAGGGAGAGATGAAGAAAAAGAACTTGGATTCCGTTCTATGCACTTGACAGTTCTGTACACGTAAGAAAAATGGAGATCGGGGTGATGGGTGTGTACCCCAGGAGTGATCTCCACCCTCCTAGTGCACAGGATCAGTTTGAGAGAGAGAGAGAGAGAGAGAGAGACCTCGTTTCCCCATAGTGTTCTCTTCATAGGTACAACTTGCAAGAACTTTGGATGTCTCTTCGAGCACATTTGCACTTTCTTCAACCTTTGTGTGATCAATTTGTGTTTTCCACTCAGCTTTACATTCCTTATCGTACTTCTTACCGGATAGACTCTCTCTCCGGTGAAAGCAACCACTACCGATATAAAAAGGCCCTCCATTAGCATCCAAACCTGCAATCTCCACCTTCAACCACAAGTTTCTCAGGGT